CAACTCCCAGAATTCCCCAGCCAGCCTGGCTGGCTGGGGAATTCTGGGAGTTGAAATCCACCCATCTTCAAGCTACCAAGGTTGAGAGACACTGCCATAATGTGACCTCCATTGATTTTATATGGTGGCTTGCTGGCATATTTGAGAATGAAATACAGGGTAATTCCTATTCCTGACCAAGAATGAGTTGTCTGCTAAAGAAGCTCATGATCGTGGATGGGTGTGCATGTGGAAAAACAGTGGAGACCGGTTTGTTGATGACAGGGGCACCATGATTGGGAACCCCAAAAGCAACTCCTTGAGTCAGATGGCCTGTAACTGGAATGAATGACTTCCCAAAAAAAGAAATAAATAAACTTCTTCATACAAGCATGACTGTAACTCTCCGTCACTGAGATATTACCGGTCTTTTGCTGCTACGTTTCTGTGTGAAGTTTTCTATAATTGTGGTTGTTATTTTAAGGGCACTCAAATCAGTTTCAGGCCCTAGACCCTGAAGAAATAGGATCCAGATTTGAACAAGACCAAAACCTGTGCAGAAATGGGTGAGGGGTGGGAGTGGGAGAGAAGGATTTAAATAATTTCAATTCTTTTTAGAAGTTCCTCATCAGAGTAAACGAATTTGGGAGCAATCACTGGTTAGATGAAAGAGGGATTAAGATGTGGCATTGTTCGTAGACAGACAGACTTTTTAATCTGGCACTTTAACTACACCAAACTGGTTTTCATTCTTATATTGCTTTGCAATGTTCAGTTTTGATATCCTTGGGGGTGTCTGGAACCTAGTCAAAATCTACCATTTGGTTGATTGATCGATGGGGTCCTTGGGTTTGAGTTTCTATTTTTCACGTTCCTATTTTGATTCTCTCACCAGGCCTGGCTGCAACAATATGGGTATTTGCCCCCGGGCGACCTTCGCACGCACACCCAGCGGTCTCCCCAGTCAGTCTCTGCTGCCATCGCTGCCATGCAGCGTTTCTACGGACTTCGGGTGACGGGCACGGCCGACCCCGAGACTTTGAAGTGAGTGACCTTGCTCTTCTCTCGTGCGCCGACCCCTGCATCTTTCCCCACCTCCTTTTCTTAAAACGAGCAGTAACGCTTGCATCGGTTGAACCCGGTGCCTCTGTAGCAGGTTTTCCTTCAGAGGGGGCACGGCTTTTGTTCTTTAAACTCTGAAAAAAACCGTGAATAGGGATATTGTTACTGACTGCTTGCCCGGGGATGGTGGAGGGGGGAACCCCGACACGTTGCATGACTCGGTTGACGTGGCTCCAAGTTGGACCGAAGTCAGAATAACTATTGCTCTGTTGTTGAATGCAAATTCTTTTCCTTGGTGCCTTGAGTGCAGAGAGAAAAACCTATCTGGAGTTGTCAAGAGGGGGGCTCTCCTTTATTGGAACTGGCAACGAAGGCCACTGGCTTTAAGTCGGGTGGCCAAGCGTGAGTTTGGATGGTCTGCTTTTGTGGTGGGTGGGAGACCCAAGAGAGAGAAGAAGAGCGATGCTGGTTTGGAGGGGTGTGAGCAACGGAGAGCAACAGATCCACGGGGGCTTAAATCTGATCGGGAGAAATGTCCTTTTTGGAAAGCGGGACGTGCCCAGAGACTTCAGAAATCAACTGCTCTGTGAGGCTTCCCACAAGCCTGGCAGCGAGGAGAAGACATTATGAAACCGCCTCAAATGATGTAACTTGGGGAAAGAACAAGCCTGTGGTCGTGCGTCGATCGTGAGAAGCCTGATTCCAAGTCCCAGCCTTGGCGAGTGGGCAGCGTGGCTACCGGGCATCCTGTGCTAGGGTGGCCTTTGGAGAGCCTACAAAGCAATGAGTGTCTGATGAGGTTAGGGTTGACCAGTGGGACTCCGTACCACGAGGGCTTGGCAAGGGGGCAAAGGAAGGGGAATTTTAAATAAATCTGGGAGCAGCTGCAGACAGGAGATGATGGCGTTCTCTCAGGGCGTGGGGCGGGCAGAAGGGGTGACCGTCTCTGTGAGTTTTGGACCTAACTGGAAGTTAATCAGTCCCTTTTGGCACATTGCTGGCTGCCGTCTGACCGGTGGCCGTTTTGGTCATCCAACAGAAAAAGAAATATCCCCGATGAAGACGAAGGATTTTCTTTTTAACTGTTTGATGATGCAGGTTTTTGAATCACGCAGAATTCTTCCTTAGCGTCAGGTCATGTTTCTCAACGTTGGCAACTTTAAGCGGTCTGGACTTCAACTCCCAGAATGCCCCAGCCAGCCATGCTGGCTGGGGAATTCTGGGAGTTGAAGTCCAGACCGCTTAAAGTTGCCAACGTTGAGAAACACTGGGTTAGGTATTGAAAACAACCCTTCTGCCAGGAAAATATACACCCTTATAATGTATACCGCTTTTTCTTTAGAAATGTTGTAGCTTTATACCTGGTAGTTTGGAAAGGCTTCCTTGGCGACTTTACCCTGTGGTTATGCGTGTGTTTAGAAATGGTTAGGTCATTATTTATTTGTGGTTCTATTTGTGTACATGGTACTTTAGGTGGAATGAGTGGTGTCGGCCTTTTGCAGGCCTTACGGTTTAGACGTGCAAACAGACAACAGGTCACCGAAGAATAGAAAAGTTGGCGCGTTTCTTACATTTCAGGCCACTCGACCCCAGGTGTTTCAGGGTCCGAGAAAGGCATTTCCGCGGGTTGCAGAGACAAATCCTGCAAATTAGAATTAGGAGATGCGGAAACGAGAACTAAGCTACGGGAATTCGTGAAGGGGGGGGCGTATAGGAGCAATGGGATTGATCCAGTCTAAATGATGCGTTTTCTCCATTGCAAGGATATGCAGTTTTCTTGGGAACAATATGGAAGAGATTTGCTGTTGTTTTCTCCCGTTTTTTTGTTTAAGCTTTCCAGTCTTCTCTCCCTGGTGGTCTCCCATCCTAACCAGGTTTACTCTGCTTCGCCTTTTCGAGAGCTGTCACCGAGGGCCAGGGGCTGCTTCGCAGGCAGAGTACAGATCTGTAAATTTGTGCTGGAGAAATTACTTTGTGGGGGCGCAGGTTGGGTTTGATGGATGTCAACCCAGATGGGATCAACTCACAGCCCCTGAGCATCTGGAAGCAAAAACCTGAAAGATATCCTTGATGGAAACTAACATGGGGATCTGTCCATCTCAGACCAGAAAGGAAGAGCCTCGAGTGAGGAGGAGAATCGGGTGGGGGGGGGTCAAGTTAAAAGCCCCTCATTCAAACACATCTTCCCAGGGAAAACCAAGGACTGGCTCAGCCCCATGATCTCAAATTAGACAACCATTCTCTTTTTCTGTGTAAACTAAAACTCTCAGCTTTGCTGTAACCAAGGGATGCTGATAAGCCAGAGTGGCTTAAGCAGGGAAAGTAACTTCCCCCAAAAAAGGCATTCTGCTTGTGCCTCTTTGTTCTTTCCGATTCCTATTGTCTTTGTAGTCCTGCCCCCATGACCTCGTAGGTATACCTTAATGACCTCACTAAGCTTGTGATGCGTTATCGGTAATCAAACACTTGCTGTTGTATTGAAGCATTGGCACGTTCTAATTTTCACAGATCTATATAGAAAAGAGACTGTAACTTCATCCTTCTATAGTAGTGTTCCTCAACCTTAGCAACTTTAAGATGTGCGGACTTCAACTCCCAGAATTCCCCAGCTGGGGAATTCTGGGAGT